CTTTCCTGGTGCTTTCTCTCCTTTGTTCTCATGCATGCACATCCACATGCGTGCACACGTGCTCAGACTTTCACTCCCTGTCGAGGGTGAGGCGGCAGCTTCAGCTGTCAGTCCATCTGCTCGGGTCCTGCTGGCTGTCTCCTGAGGCAGCTGCTACTGCAGGCGTGTGGTCAGATCCCTTTGCCCAGGTGAGCAGAGTGCTTTGGCTGGACACAGCCCACGGGGATCGCAGTCCTCACATCCTGTGGTCTAGAGAAAGAAGCCATCATTCAGTCCCACAAAATGAACACCGTGTGCTGTGGTCTTGCCAGAGCTCCCACCAGCCTTTCCGTGGTCGCCCCTGTGGGTTGGGAAGGCCTGGCTGATCCTGGCGGGAGGTGAGGAGGCGTGGGACACAGTGATTATGACAGGGACGAAGGGGCCTGGGCCGATGCCTGAGGTTTGCGGAGCCCCACAGAGGACACAGCTTGTCAGGCCGCTCTCTGGATTGTTGGTGTGAGGGCCGAAATCACCCGGTCGTCCTCCGCGACAAAGAACAGGACCAGAGATGCCCAAGCAAGCGGAGTTTATTGAGCCAGGTGGCTGGGTCAAACCTTCCCGCAGGCACAGGCCGCACAGGGACAGCAAGGCCCAGACCGTAGGATGTCAGAGAATATATCGGCCCTCATCGGCCGCTACATGCGTCACAGCCGGGGCAAACTCAGAGAGTAACAAGCTTCACAGCTTTCTAAGAGCAGACGTCTCAGTCACGAGTCAGGAGCTGATACCAGGGTCGAGTTTCAGCCAGCTCCAGGAGCTGGCACCAGGAATGCCGCCTGCCTGCCCTCCTTTCTGGGCCAGGGTGATCAGAGACCCAGGCAGAGGGGCCTACCCTGGCACCAGGTGCTGTTAGGTGGGTTTGGCACAAGGCTACAGCTTCTGAAGGAGCCGGGCTGGGCTTCCTCAGACATGTGCTGCCGTGACTGTGTGGAAGTAAAGGCCCAGAATGAGGAGAAGCCCGATGAAGGGCAGCAATAAGGAACCCGCGCTCACTGACACAGCTTGTGGTGCTGTCACAGGGGAGCCCAGAGCGGACTGTGGGGCCTCACCTGCCCGCGCAAACTGTAATTTTCTGCAGACACACACAGAAAGGGTACTGGGCTCCTTTGCAAAAGGGGAAAGGAAACAACCCAGGGAAAGAGAGAGGGATACAGAGTACCTGGAATATCTTGCCAGCTTGGCTAATTTGGAACTTAGTCCCAAACTAACTGCTAGATCCCAGTGACAGTCTGAGAGCAGCTGCTCCAGAGAGAGAGAGCCGTCACCTCTCCAGAGCCATAGTTGGAAAGCCACTGCCTAGTGATCCCCCACAGTCCCTAGTTATCCCTCACATTCCCAGAATGCCGCTTAGCTCCGCCCCTGGGTCCTCGCGGTTCTCTCCCGGGTGCTGCTGGGAGTTGTAGTTTCCAGTCACTGGCGTAGGGGGCGGAGTCCAGAGAGCTGGAGTAGGGGTGGAGTCTACCAAGCTCTGCAGAGCTCCTTTAGACATCCTTCCCCTTACCAGTGGGGCTGGGTCTTCAGAGGGTGCTTCTGCTTCTCACCGGGGGATTGAGCAACAGCAGGAGCAGTAGCGGGTATTTCCCACTGTGGAGGAGGGCCTGGCTTATGTCACTGGCTTCCCTGGAAATAACCCCTCCCTGCTGCACGCTGAAGCCGGCCCCAGTTGCCTGGCTCCCAGTTTTACTTGGAAAAGACACTTCTGAGGAACATCTTCCTGGTTTGGCCATGTGCCCATGAGTCAAGCTTGAGATGGAGCCGGTGTCTTATGCTCGGGGTGGGGGCACTAAGCGGCCCCAGATCCTGTCTCAGGGTCCATGCCCCAGCACAGTGGGGGGCAGGAGCTGCCCGTGTGGATGTCAATGCAGACAGCACTGAAAGAGCAGAACACTGGTGGGGGGTGGAGGGGTGCCTCCCCTTAACCCCCAACTCCTCCTCGCCCTCGCCCTGGCTCTGGCAAATATGCTGTGGTCATGCCAGCTGCACCCCAGCCCACCCCATCCGGTTTTATTCTGAGATGTGGCAAGGTTGGCTCTTGGACCCAGGTACGCCCCCGCTCATACGCTATTTAAGTTCCAGTTCCATTTTGCATGTGATTCAGGATGTGCAGGTGTAAAAACAACAAGCAGTTGCCCCCATGCTGAGTTTCAGTGCAGGGATCCGGTGTCACCTCTGCAAGGCCCAGCGGGCTCCACACCACTGCCCGTGTCCCTCGGGGCACTGCTCATGTGCACGCCACGGGTGTTCTTCCCTGTCACAGTGTGTTCTTCCCAGCCTCTCGTCTCACACCGGAGAGCCCCACACAGGCCAGAACCTGGACTGCAGGCATGGAGGGGAGCCCCCCAGCCCCCCAGGGTGCCACACAGTGGGGGTCAGGAGCTCAGCAGCTGAACCAGCCTACAGTCGCGGGCGAGCCCTGGTCTGGCGGCCAGCGGGGTGCGTGGCCACACTCAAACCCATCGCACCCTCTGGCCTGTGTGCTGTCTGCACTGCTGAGGCAGGCGGCGGCCATGTGAGCGGGCTGCAGACTGGCAGCTCGTCCTGGCCAGATGCCTTGACAACACAGGTTGTGGCCTCAGAATCTGAGTTAGCGGTTGAGGCCATTTGGCTGCTCAGTCGCAGATTACCTGGCTGACAGCGTTGTCAGCGTCAAGGCATGTACTGAATCCTCTTACCGTGAAGCCTGCGGGGTTGCTCCTGGGCCTGACCAGCAGCTTCCGACACTCCCCCCCACCCACACACCGCTGCCCTTCCTCCCTGGGGTCTTCTCGGCCGTGGCCCCAGGCTGCCCAGCCCCTGGGCAGAGACAGACAGCTTTCCTTTCATCTGGAAGGGCAATCTTTTCTGGCCACCCCACCCCACGATCTGAAGAGGAGATGGCCTATTCCCAGGGCCTGGGCACGCGGCTCCCTCAAACGCAGTCAGTGTCACTGGCGACATCGGCCTCAGATCCGGGCCGCCGGCACCTCGCACAGCACGAGGATGGTTTCGCCTGAGAGCAGGATTAGAGCGGAGCGAATCCGTCACACCTGCCCACACTTTGCCCCGGGCCAGGTTCTCGCAGGCCTCACCTGTGCTCCGCCCCCACCACGCCTCAGGCTTTGCAGCTTGGCTTCTGCAGACTTCTGCTCTGGGGTCTCCATCAGCACCCGCACCCCGACACCAGCACAGCAGCAGGGGGCTGCCCTGCCTGCTTCGCAGTGAGCCCGGGTTGCGCACACAGCTCCAATACCCTGACCACGCACGAGACTTCCCGCCGGGGTGGGGGGTGTCCCAGGAAAGTCAGCAGGAGCGTATCTGTGTCCTGATGGTTGGAGATCTCAGGCCAGAGTGCAGAGCCCTTGGGCTGGGGCCCCCAGGACCCCCACAAGGCTCCACTGAACCCTGAGATGGCTTACTGGGTATGTGGGTGCGCTCTGATATTTTCTCTGTCCTTATCCAGCCTGACACCTGCCACTCGCTCTGGACTTTCTTCTGCCACCCATACCTGACTGCTTTCGTTGGGCCACCCCTGAATTTCCCAGTCTTACTAAATTCCTCTGTGCTGACATCCTTCACGAGGCAGAGCTCCCAGTCTGTGGGGCGGGAACCACGTCTCACCTCTGCTCTGGCGGCAGCTTAGCACAGTCCCTGGTTAAACAGAAGGAGGTGAATGTAGTCCTGGACAAAGTGAGGCGTTTGGCTGCTTGTAAGTCAAATCAAAGGCAAAAGATGTGGAAGTGTTCCAGGGCCGCCTGTCTCTGGGCCTCACCAGCACTCCTACAATTCAGTTGTCCTGCAGGCGCACACAAATGGCTCAATAAGGGTTCATTTACAAAAGGGGAAAGGAACAGGACACAACCCGGGGAAAGAGAGAGGTACAAGGTAATGAGAATGTCTTACCTGCTCGGCTGACTTAGACCTCTGGTAACGAACTGAAAGCTCCGAGTCACCTGGTCCCGAAAGCCAGAGAGAGGCGCGTCGGGTCCCGAAAGCGAGAGATGCCCGTTGGGTCATGTCTCCCTATTTATCCTCCAGTGTCCCAGAATGCTGCTTAGCTCCGCCCTTGGGTCCTCGCAGTTCTCTCCCGGGTGCTGCTGGGAGTTGTAGTTTCCAGTCACTGGCTTAGGGGGCGGAGTCCAGAGACCTGGAGCAGGGGGTGGGGTCCACAGGACTGCAGAGTTCCTTCAGGACATCCTTCCCCTTAACAGAAGCACACTCGTAAGTCCCCTCGATATTCATATTGTCTTTGATTTGTATGTAACCCACCAACTGGTGCAGAACCTGCCCCAACAGTGCTGGTGTTACATGTGGAACAAACACCTGGCAGCAGAAAGGAGCTGTATGAGCTGGCTGACACAAGGAACATAGCTTCATCACCAAAGAGAACCTTCCAGTTGGCAAAGCACATTGGCCGGTGGCCCCTGACCTGCCCAGTAAGACATTATTCCCACCTTGCAGTGAGGTCAAGAGAACTCCCGCCTTTCCACAAATCGCGTCTCAGGAAGTGGCTGTGGGGGTGAGCTGCCTTCCTCTTTCCGCAATTCCCTCTGCTGACCTGCGGACAGGACTATCCCGGTCTGGGAAGGAAGAGCATGACTCGATTTCTCCAGGATCCTGCACAAGTGGACACCTGCCTTGCCTGGGTGTCTGTGGAGACCCAGGTGTGGGTCACGCCGTGCTGCTCAGAGGGGCTCAGGCTAGGGGGCTGGGAGGAGCCCCCTCTTCCCCCGGCAATGGCAACCATGTCAGAATTTCAGAGAAATTCTGAAATTGCCAGCCGGTTGGGCTCCCCTGGCCTCGCGCTGAGTGTGACGGTGAGTGGGATGGCATCGGAAGGTGAAGCCACTCACCCCAGATGGTGTGACCAGGATTTGAAGCCGTGGGACTCTGAGACCTTTCAAGAAACCTCAGATGGATTTTTCTTTTCATCATGTGTTGAGTAAAGTAGAGAGATATCACTTCTCTCTTTTTTCTCCCCCCAGGACAAGACATTTCAAAGAAAGTATTAAGTTCATTCACGAGTGCCGACTCCGGGGAGAAGGCTGTCTTGTGCACTGGTAGGTAGTCAACTCCTTTCCTGAGAAGAGCCTACAATGTTCTACTCAGCTTGATTGCTCCTCATGTGAGGTGTGATTATTTCCTCGCCTAGTAGTTCTTTATTTTATTTTTAAAATCATTTTTCACTTATTTTTAATGGATGTGATATTCGGATACCTCAGCAGGCATCAACACCATGGGGTACCCCTCCCCAGCTCACCACTGGAGCCCTGTGAGCTGTTCGCCTTTGTTTTGTACGTGTTGAAAGAGGACCTGAAATGTTTTCTTCTTTTTCACACTCAGGGTTGCTTTAGGGACTGTTAGGGTCCTGGACATAGGAACAGTTAGCCTCTTACTAACATGCCATTACAGCCCCCCACCCCCAGGGTAGGTTAGAGTTGTGGTTCCCTGAAATTCCAGTGGCCTTTAAGACACTGTTTCCTTCTAGAGAGTTCTGATTACATTTGTGGGTGCTTAGCACTGTGTTAGTGTCCAACCCAAAGACCATTTCTTCTCCATTTGCCTGTGGGGGCTTTGATCTTGCTTTGCAAAGCTCTGAATAGACGCTTAGCACTCAGCTGGCCACTGACATCCAGCTCCGCTTTGCGGGTAACACGCACAGATACATACACACCCCATAAAGGACAACTGTTGGAACACACACCACCCAGGACATGAGCTCGGCGCCAGCCTGGAACATGTCAGCTCTCCCTGAACATTGCCCCTTGTTTGACTACAGACCAGATCACTCAAATAGCGTCACTGCCTCTGCTATGAAACCCGCAGCCAGCCAGAGTTCTGGTGCCAGAACTGGCTGTTGTTAAGTGCAGGTTGAACCTGCCCCTGAACTCTCTCCCGAGTGAGGCCTGATGTTAATGAACTGAAAACGTAACGTCTTTTTGAGTTTCCCCAAAGGAGTGCAGTGCACAGCCTCAGCTCCTGGGAAGCCTTGCTGCAGGCCCACGGCTCCAGTCACGCCTGGCTCTCCAGAGGGGCCTGTTGCATTCTAACTAATGGAAGGGCCAGGGGAGCAGGGACACGCCATAGTTTGCCTCCCAAATGGTGCTCTGAGATCGAACACCGTGCTCGAGATAGGGTAACATTCCATTTCACTGCAAAAGAGAGGCAGACAGGGAAGAAACACAAATGTAGGCTCATTTATATTTTCTTTAAAGCACTTTGGTATGCTCGTGGCCAATTTCAAAAGGTACTTCTAAAATCTGATAGCTCTGAAATCTCCAGGGTTATAGCTCAAAAGGATGCATTGTTATTGAAAACTCAGTATTTCTCATTTGAAGCCCTAGGGAAGAATCAGCACTTAACAGTGACTTTATTATGATTACTATTATTATTTATACTTTCGTGGGTGGAAGCCTGATGTTCGAGGATTGCAGACAGTTGTACAAATCTGAACATAGTCTTTTCTGAAAACGAAAAACTCGCTAAACTTCCGTTGCCAGCTCACTCTACGTCTGACACAGCACCACCTTTTTGTGACCGCATTAATTTGCATGTACATTTAAATTTGTACATGGTACATTTAAAATTGACCCTTTGCTCAGTCTGCTAGAGACAATTAACCGTTACTGTCTGCAGAGTGCTCACCTAGGCCTGAGTCTCAGCCACGTGAAGCGTGCCTGTCCTGGTGCCTGCTTAGTTATATCAAGAACCGGAAGCCTTCAGCAAGAACATCTATATTTAATGGGCTTTTTAAATTATAGATTTAGCCCTCATATATTTATGAAAACCAGATTTTGAAAATGCATGAAACTTGCTCAATGACTGCAGGTTATAAATGGATTTGTTGCTTAGATCCTGACTCTTCGAGCCCTCTCGATGTACCTTTGTTATTTTATCTGCCTGGGGCGGGAGGATAAAGAAGGGTTCAGGAGTGACAGAAAATTGTAAAACTAATCCAAAAAGTTGTTACAAACCAATAAATAGCACTTCAGTCATTAAATTAGTAGATAAGTCAGTAAGTACGTGTCTGGAGCCGTAACCCACAGAAAATCAAATGAGCCTTGTGCCGATAAAGAATGCTGGAGATTTTTTTTTTTTTAAAGATTTATTTATTTGTGCATACAAAACTGGGGTACAGGCCAGAGGCTCAGGGGCGGCGAGAGGCTTCACCAGAGACAGAGTGGGGAGCAGAACAGGCAGATCGACGAAGTCCACTGCTTAGGGGAGCAGCGGGCGGGTCAGGAGATGTCTGCCGCGCCATGTGGTCACCTCCAGGGCAGGCGGGGATCGAGCTCATGGGGAAGCGGCTTCAGCTTCTCAGTGCTGTGCTTTAACCTGCTGCGCCACCAGGGAGGGCCGAATGCTGGAGATTTTAGTGTTAAGAGTTTGCATGCTTCGGAGGAGTGTCCTGTCGCTCACTGCCTTGGGGCCCAGTCGTAATGCAGCTCAGGAAGGCTTTCCAGAATGGGGGGTCCCCAGCTCCAAATGGGTGGGGCCCCTCGTGTGGATCCTGAGCCTTCCTGCCTGGGGTGGGGTGTTCTGTCTGCCTGCAGCCTGGCCGGCGTGTCCAGGAGCGTGACCCTGGTCATCGCGTACATCATGACCGTCACTGACTTTGGCTGGGAAGATGCCCTTCACACTGTCCGCGCCGGGAGGTCCTGTGCCAACCCCAACCTGGGCTTCCAGAGGCAGCTCCAGGAGTTTGAGAAGCACGAAGTCCACCAGGTAAGCCCGCTCGGGGTGCTGGCCACCTCGGCCAGTCTTCTGCTTACCACTAGGTCCTGGAGGTTGAAGTTGCAAAGGCCCCCGGACAGGTCTGGGTCAGGGACACCCCACGTGGTCTCAGGGAGGCATCTGTGGCCCTGACCCCGCAGCTCAGCAACAGCACATCCCCTTGACCGCCTCGCCAAGGCGGAAGCTGCTATTTCCTCCCTGTGGACCTGAAGTGTCATTTTCTTAGTTTGCTTTCCAGGTTTGTCCAAACTCCGGGAGAAGCCACTGTTTCTCTTGTTTCGCACCCGTAAGCCAACCACAGAGCTTTGATTGCCTGATGGCTATTTACTCGCGTTTGCATGCAGCCAAATCTGCGCTGTGAAAGACCAGCCTCTTTCCAGCGTGGGGGTGTCGCGTTGGCCTGTATGTGCATGTGTAACAGCAGTGGCCTTATCTCCGACTCCTCCAGTACCGCCAGTGGCTGAAGGAAGAATACGGAGAGAGCCCTTTGCAGGATGCCGAAGAAGCCAGAAACATTCTGGGTAAATATAAAGAGCAAGGGCGCGCCGAGCCCCAGGCAGGCGCCAGGCCGTGGGGCAGCCTGCAGACCCTGCCCGCCCTGGCCTACGGCAGCTACGCCCGAGAGACCTAGCGAGGCCCGGCGGGCGCCCGCCTTGGCTCGTCCTGTGGGCTCCTGCCCATGCCCGGTTGCCCTCCTCGCCGCCTGTCCCGCCCGGCTTGCTGCGCTGGCCCCGGAGGCCCGGGCGCGCCCGCCGGAGCCGGCTGTCTGCGCGTGCATGTGTGACCTCCGCTGCCCGCCCGCTGGAGAGTCAGGTCCAGGCTGCAGGATGGACGTCGCCACCGTCCCCTTTATCCAAGACTACGCGAGGGAGGCGGTTGACAGTGGCACCTGCACCGCGGTCAGAAGCGCCTGGTGCCCGCCAGCCGTCAGCACGCAGAGCTCGGGGCGCTACGTGGCTGAGCGCAGCCGCTGCCCCCGGCCCCGACGGGCTGGGCAGGGAGTGGCCGACCCCGCTGCCCCGGCCTGAGTCGGGGCTGGAAGGGCGCGGCTGGCGCGCGTGCTGGCATCACCGCAGGGCAGGGCGGGCGGCGGGCGCTGGCCTCTGGGGCAAGGCCGCGAGGGTTCCACTGCGCGAACTCGCCTCAAGCCTCGGGCTCCACTTGTTGGCTCTTCGGCGTGGCCGCTGCTCCAAGGCTGGTGCTCCGGGCGCCTTGGTCTGCTGCTGCTCAGCCTTACATCCTCCCCGCCTCTCGCTGCTGGTCTCCATCGCAGGGGCCTCTTCTCAGGGCTTGCATGCACCTGCAGGAAGCGGGCGGAACCAGCGCTTCGCTTTTAAAACTACATTGGCCAATGCCTGGGACGAGGCACCTTGGTGTACGCTGTGGATTTGATATTTGACCTCAGCTACCTCATTAAATGTTTTCGCAAAAGGTGTTTTTTGTTTTTCCCATCTACTCTGCCTCACTGGCTTGGAAAACGTTCTACCAGGATTGCTTTGGAAGCCAAAGGGAAACGATGCATATGGTTGAGCTGTTGAAACTTTCTGCCCTGAGCGCAGATAGTGCTTCCTGGTGGGAGCTGGGGGGGCGGAGAAGTGGGGGGGCACGGGGCGTCGGGAAGGCTGTGGGCAGGCCTTGATACTCAACTCAGATTGTTTTAAGCACGGGGAGCCCCGTGAATGAAAAACCAATGCTTGACATCTCCCTGAAAAGGTGGAACCCCATTCCTATGCATTCCACTATGAAAAGAACCCCTGAAGGAGTGTCGTCTCGCTGGCCTGTGAGGTTATATCCTGACTGACCCCTCCCTGGCAGATGCACAATGAGAAAGGAACCTCACCCTTGGTTTATCCATTGACAGCTGAAATAAGTCAGCCTATCAAGTACATAATTTTTCTGATGAAAAAAAAAAAAAGAAGAAGAAATGAAAATGTGTGAACAGAAAGGGAGAGAAAGGGACAGACACTGAGCATGTGTGCACAGGTCTGAGCTCTCACCACTCCTGTAGGGCCTGAAATGCCGTTTGAATATTTGTCGCCAGTAATGTTCTTTCTCCACAGCCAACCCGGGGATTCTGAAGTACTGGGCTTTTCTCAGAAGACTATAATGCACCTGATGTTTCTGAAATATGGAAAAGCCACAGCACTTAGGCGGGTGCTCTCCAACCAGAAAAGCAACCAGAGTTTATCTTTAAGTCCCAGAGGGGATGTGTCAACCTGTTTTTCATTTGAAACTGAAGGCCTGTGTCATGGTGGTGTTCTTTGTTGGGCTGGAGGGTGCTGTTCAGCTAGGGGAAATCTATTCACTCGCGTGCCTGTTTCCTTGACTCTGATGCCTCTAAAACAACCTCACGAGCCCGCACCCCGTCTTGCCTCCTGTCCATCACCGCAGTCACTCCTCCTAGGTCTCAGCTGCTCAGACTCTGCTCGCCTGTTCTTAATTTCCCAGCTTGGGAAACATCTCTGAGGTGTGTCTTATCCCTGGCTTGTATCCCTCCTGCTGGACCACACCATGCACATGTTTGGTTAATAAAGGACAAAGAGCCACGTCTAACTTCCTGTGCCACCGTGTTTCCTTAGACGGGCGAGAGTCGGAAGCGGCCCTTGCACCCCGATGCAGGCTTGATTTTAGAGGCCGTTGTTTTCCTCCAGGAGGGAACACAGTAGCTCCCAGCTACAGTGAATTCGTTTCTCCATGAGGGAAAACTTGATCTTCAAGTTTTGCTGAAAACTTGGCCATCAGAAATCAGGATGGCTGAGCTCATGTTTTATCTGAAAACACTGGGGTAGAACATTGGGCACCCCTGGACATTTCTGCAGCAAATTTTGCACCCTCCAAAGAGGTCTGGCCACTGTTGCACACAAAGACAAAGCACTTTCATAGAATTCATGTTATGGAGAGCGGAGAAAAGAGAGTAGTTTCCAATGAAAGACCCAAATTTACCCCTTCACTTGTGAGTAAAAGCCCAGTGAAATGCAAACCGGGGCCACTGATAATACCAAAAAAATGCCACAAGTCTGAGGAAACTTCTGGTAGGGAACCACAGGAAATGTACAGAGGAGGCCAGGCAAGTCTGAGCAGACAGGAGCAAAAGCAAAGTACAAATCAAGAGGATGTTGCCATCGTCTGCTCCCCACGTGCCTCCTCCCCCGGCCGCACCAGCCCAGAGCTGAGAAGCCAGTGAGCCCTTGTCCACGTGGGTCCCCGAGTCCAGCCCTCCATGTTGCATGGTTCCCCCCCTCCAGTGGGGTGCAGAAGGGGCTACCTCTAACAAATCAGTGTGGGGGGGACGGGTGAAAATTTCACTTTTGTACTCCAGGGTGATTCGGCTTGAACTTGAGGAGCTGCGTGCTGAGCTGACCTGGCAGGCTTGGACTTTACTTGCTCCGTCTTGTATCCAGTGCTGAGAAGCTCCTGGGGAGGAGCTTAGGAGGGTGGGAGCGGAGTGTTGGGGTGAAGAGGACCTGCTGGGGGTGCCCTCGGGGTGTGAGGTGGTACACTGGCCAGTTTCGGGCCTTGGAATGCCTGTTCTGACTCCAGAGCTGCTGCGGACCCAGGTGGGCTGTGCAGGTGCACTAAGACCTACACGCACCAAGCAGGTGTCCACTCGGGCCCTGTTCACTGGCGGAGGCGCAGAGGGGCCAGGAAACAGTGAAGCTGGACATGTTGGCGCTTCTCTGCCTGGCCCTGC